ACCCGTTTTGGCTGTCTTGTTTTGTCAGTACTATTATATCTTGTAAATTGTTTCTTTAGTTTATTCACTATTATTATCGCTTGTAAATTGTTTTTTTTAAACAGCCTTGATCAGTGATTAATTTTTTTCGTTATTAATGTTTTCTTTTTCAAGTCGTTAATACCAAATATCTTGAATAGACCCATTTTTTATAGAATAAGGGTGGCAAACGAGCACACACCTGATGGTAAGTGAATGCCACAAGCCCACATGCATCTATCCTCAATAACGAATTAAAATGCAGATGTGTTGTCATCCCTAAGGACTAAAAAGGAAAGCCTCCTTTTCGGTAAAAAGGTGACTCCGGTTCCCCACACTCACCATACAAAACACAGCAGCATTAAGTTGCTATTTTATGCTGGTATTCTGTGAGAGCGCTGTCCTTCCTCGGTCGAGCCGACGTACCTTTCAATATCTATAAAGATTTTTTTCCTTAACCTGGTTTATTTAGGGACATTTATTTTAATTTAAAGTTTATTTAAGGAATTTAATCTCTACAACGTAGATGCGTTGTTTCGGCGGCTATATTGACGGGCGGAAGTCTTTGTATGTGTACCGGAAACGGACGTACACAAAATACTGTAATGTCCTGTGATGTTGTAGTTCAGCTTTTATTTGTAAATTTTAATGAAATAAAATGCAACTTTGTGATTAAAAATGTACTAAAGGAAACATTATATTTATCTGATGTCAGCCACAACTTTCTTGTGCATTTATTTATTTTTAAATTTTATGAATTCTAAATTAGTTATAAATATTGCTCAATCAGATCAGATGTTCATTCCGTGTAGCGGCGGTGTAAGAATATCCACTACCTCGTATCGTCCCGTGCGTGACGTAGGAGACGACAGAGAGAAACTTATATATATATATATATATATATTTTTTTTATATATATATATAAACACTCACGCCTGTCACCCAGAGGGGTAGGCAGAGACTACAGACTTCCATTTGGCACGATCCTGACACACCTCTCTCGCCTCCTTCGCATCCATACACCTACGCATACATGCTCGTCTGTTAAGGGTACTCCTAATTTGGTTTTTGGAAACTTAAATAGGAGCTTTAACGCAAAGCAATAAAAAAACTGCAGTTGCCAACTCGCCTGCCAAGTGTGGCAACTATGGCAGAGTCCCCGTCCCCGTATAAGGCAATTTATGTGGGAGGCCTATGTTCAGCTGAGGATTATCATAGGCTGTAATGGATGGATAGATGATGTTATTGTGCCATGTGTCCATCACTGTGTACGTCATAACTTAACATTATCATTACCAGCGCGAAAATATGTCACCGCTAGGTATAAGTCTTCCATAAAGACAGCAAACAGTACTTTTTTATAGAATAAACTTGACATACGAGCACACACACAGTCCACCGGATGGTAAGTGGATGCTGTGACCCATAGATATCACCATTTATGCTCGATTAAAAATCAAAATGCAGATGCGTTGTCACCCCTGAGGATTAATATGGAATGCCTCGTTTTTCAGTAAAAAAGGGTCTCGAGATCTCTACACTTACCATATGAACGAAACACAGCTTAAGCTTAAGCTGCTATTTCGCGCATTTATATTGTGAGAGCCTGGTCTTTCCTCGGTCGCGCTGACCCATTTGTGCTACAACTATAATATAGCTGTAGCGTGGCTCTACCACGTATATACGTAGAAACGTACATGTATACGTAGAAATGTTGATATTGTTTAGATGTTTATTTTACCGAATTAAACACAATGCCTGGGGGTGCCGCAAAACACTCGCTATGTCATGTATTCACAATGCAATCAAGCGATGAGTGTGACTTAAAGGCGATATGACGATAACTACTTCGAGACGAAAACGTTCACGAACATAAAAATGTACACACGCAAACACAAAGACAGACATCCATTTATAACAGTAGAATCGGATCGGAATCTGAGACCTAAAACGTGGAGTCACGTTAAAATTTCGACTTTCAAATACCAGAAAAATCATCCAATAGATAAATTCTCAGCTTTGTCGAATGGATGATTATTCATCATCATCGTCATCATCGTTACAGCTCTTCACAAATGCGCTGCTGAACATAAGCCCTCCACAAGTTGTGTATGATTGTTCATCCATTACAGCCCATAAAAGTCTACAGCTTAACATAATATGCTTTCCCCGTAGATTGCATCATAGCGGGTATTTTGCCATAGTTGCCAGGCTTGGAAGGCGGGTTGGCAACTGGAGTTTTTTATAATTGTCAGTTGTTATAACGAAGGTATTGCTGCCCATCTACTGTTTCAATTTCCCTCTGCCATCTTGTATACCCACGGGACGATATGGGCTAGTGGATATTCTTACTCGCCACTACACGGCTATAATTGTCATTATTACACCAATATTAACTGCTATTTTAACAATAACTGTTGTACATATACGCTTAATTAGTGTCTGAAGATTTAAAAACTAATTTTTTTAAACGTTACCCTCACACTAGGATTTTCTCCTGTATCTTGTAGACAGTTTACAAACATAAATTGCACAAGGACAAATATCCAGACGCGGAACAATTATTTGTAGGCCATACGAATACTTGTTCCGTGCGGGATTCTAAGCCAAGCCATTCTAGGCCTCCAGCACAGCCACTGATTGCTAAGCCACTGCGCCATGGAGCCTATTATTTGAACTATTAATTAGACTACGACAAAGCTTTTTGAATATTAAGTCTCTAAATTTACAATTCAATAAAATTTAAGCTCATCGTAAAACGGGTAGGAGTCGTGAATACAAAGACAATCGGTGCCATTCAGCCTTAACTATGTTGGCATTGCACCAAGACCCATTGTTCTATTTGCTTATTCCTCGCTTTAAACGCGGCAGTAGGCCCGCGGGAATTCATGTGAGCTCAGGGCGGGATTCTATTAACTGAATGGCTAGAATCGTTTTGAGACGTTTGTGCTGGAGCTATTTATACCTGGGTATCTGATATGATCTAACGTTAATGAATTATTGATCATCGTTACGTCATTATTGGGGGGTATCAATATAGTTTTCTCATCTGGTTGGTTTCTATAAATATATAAATATAAATGGAAATGAAAAGATAAATATAAAGAAATATCAATAAAATTAAATAAATATAAAAATACATAAATAAATAAAAGCCCAACCAGATGGAGGCCCTTGGCAGGGGAGACCAAACGGCCGAGGGTTAGGAGGAAAGGGAAAGAAACCGGCGGACGATGCAGGCGGTATCGAGGAGCACCGCCTTCTGCATTTGAGCCTGGAGCGGTCCGCCACGTAGTCCCAGTCGCCTCAGATGACACGAAAGGCTGACTGGGATTAGCCCGTTTGCAGAGATGACTACAGGAATAATTTCGGTCGGCAGACCACCCCACATGTCGGTCACCTCGTCCACAGCCAGGTCTGGATATTTTGTTTGCTTATCTGTTTCAGCTTTCACGAGATTCTCGTCATACGGAACGGTAATGTGGACCAAAAATATCCTTGACTGTGCCCGGTCCATCAGCACAATACCAGGCTTATTCGCAAGAATAATCCTATCTGTGATGATGGTCCGGTCCCAATAGAGCGCGGTCATTTTCGAGCACGGCTTCCGGCAAGTACTTGTAATACGGCAATTTCCGATCCACGAGACTCATTAACGCACTTAAGCACTTTGTTCAAGCGTACATAAAACACGTCGCAAACTGACTGTTTCATACCAGCCTCATCGATACCGATGTTCTGTGACATACCCAGGTACCGGTATGTTTCCTCGGAAAGATTCCTTAAGTTGACGGGCATAGATAAATCTATGCCCTCTGAGTTAGCTGTCTTACTTACTTATCCGTCCCCAGCTCCATTCCAATGGAATTTCTAAATTCACAAGTGATGTTGAGCAATTCCATAAGATGGGAGCGACTGGAGGCGAATAACTTCAGGTCATCCATATAGAAAAGGTGGGTCACTTTTATCCGTCCTTTCCGTAGCTGAAATCCACTCCCGAAGCCCTCCAGTAAGGTACTGAGAGGGTTCAGAGAGAGGCAGAACCAGATTGGACTCAGACAATCGCCCTGGAAGATACCCCTTCTTATCCTTATGTGGTTCTTCGCAGCCATCATCCGCTCGCCCAGATGACAAAGGATCGTACTCCACTGCCCCATACATTGCTCGAGGAAGTCTCTAACTGTACAGTCTACCTTGTACAGCTCGAGGACTCTCTTTAGCCATGTATGGGGCATCGAGTCGAATGCCTTTCTGTAGTCTATCCAGGCGGCGGAGAAGTTCCGACGGTTGCGTTTCACCACTTTGCCAATAACCGCGTCAATCAGGAGTGGTTCCTTGGTTCCACGACCACCGCCCCGACATCCATTTTGAGCGGGTGACATCATCTGATTTGAGTCCAGGTGACGAGTGATTCTCGCGCTCAAAATGGATGTTAGTGTCCTGTATGTGGCCGGTAGACACGTGATGGGGCGGTATTTGTTCGGGTCTGTGGTACCCTGGTCTTTAGGAACCAAATGGGTGATCCCGGTAGTGAAGAGGCTCGGGAGCGACTTCTGATCTTCTGATCTTCTATCGGGCCTATTGAAGTGAATAGTTTTATCCGTGATAATAGTCCTGTCCCAGTAGATTCCATGATTATTATTTTCTAATATGGTGTCTTAATAACTTTCGGTGGTTTCTAAATAAGTTCGCTAAACGCTAAAAAATAAGATCGCTAACATGAATGCTTCCGTCTCTGGGAAGAGTTCACCGCGCCTCAGCCAGGCGTTCGACGCTTTTTTGTCGACATGTGACAGCTGCAGGTCGTGGTAGTGCCTTCCGTGTAGGGACTTCTGTTGCCATGAGGCCATCTTCTCGTTTAAGTCAGTGATCCGTTCACTGCGTTGTGTGTTTCGTTGAATGCTACAGTGTCGGTCTGATTCGGTGCCAGGCCCGTTCCACTTACCATTGATCGCTCCAATGATTCATAGAGCCTTTTCTGATCACTCTGGAAGAGACGATTCTGGTTGAACCGTGTCGACTTCTCGGTATATCGCCGAATCCGCTTTCCCCAAGCAGCGATTCCGCAATTTGTCTATTGCTATTCTAAACAGTTCCTGGATTTTTTTCGCGTCATTATTTTCTATTGCTTGGTTTTTTTGAGGTTCAGAGGCTTGAGTAGATATCACTGATTCGTCTGGTTGAGGTTGTAAGGTTAAGTTAAGTGTATGCACGGGAGTGTTACTTTCTATAATGAATGGATAAACGTCGACTTCTTGTGAGTTTTCTGTTTCGGGTGATGAATGTGATGAATTATTTTCCATATTGTCTCGTCGGGAATTCAGGTTGCTTGATATATTGTCACGTATCTATTGAAGTCTTTGGTCATTATTCATTTCATTGTTCAATATTACTCTGAGCTGATCTGATATTCTTTCTTCACTTACACCTGTTAACTCAGGCTGTTCTTCTATGACTGCTTGATGGAGGGGTCTACGGTAAGCTGATTTATTTTCTCCAAGTTTGGTGATTTTATAGTAATTTCTTACAATAGATTCTTTTTGGTCAGCTGTCCATCGTCTTCTTTGTGTCAAGCCTTGCTAATTGCTAAAATGTGGTTGCGTGTGTGATTACGTGATCGAGTCGATTTGTATATGATTGTTATTACACACAGTAATAACAATCATACTAATAATACATACTGAATATAGCTCTGCATTGATCTCCCAACCTTTGTCTTGATGCCTGCATCTGCGGATATTTATTAGAGAATTCTTTATGTAGATGATCGAGGTATATTTTGTTAGTATTTAATTTAGTGGCTATAAGGTACGTGCGCCAGATGAATTTATTCATTTCTTCTATCCATCTTTTGCGCGCACGATTTCTGTCTGGGGCGGGTGCAGGTTCAGTGGCGACAGCCTCCTGAACAACGTCTTCAGACATGGGTGATACAGAGTCTGATCTCGTTGAAGTCTGGTATGAACGTGGAGATGAAATAGATGACTTGAATGAATGAAAAGGTGAGGGTGTCGATGAGATTATATCGCTTAGCATGTCGGAGTCCATATGTGTCGTTTGGGTCGTTCGACGGGTTGCTTTCATCACTCGGGGATTCTTCGCACCCCTAGGCCCAGTCTCAGGCTAGCTTCCGTCATAACCAGTGCTGCTACTGGGTCCGCCGAGCACTTGGGGCCGTTTACTTCTTGTTAATACCATAATTATTCTCCATTTGGTTTTGGGTGTGGAACCGTTAGTTGGGGAGGGTTAGCAAAGATGTTAGTGGTTAATAAAATGTACCTCCTGTATCGGTTACGGTAAGTTCGTAGTGACCGCTGTTAGGTTCATGCCTCCCCCTTAAGCCCCCCCACCACGTCAAGGTGGTCCCGGGGGGGGGGGGCGTTATTATTATTATTACAAGACCTTTGGACATAGGACTCCTAAGACTGTCTTACCAGTTCGTCACTCCATCTAGTGGGCGTCCGCCCTACACTTAGCCACGAGGCTGCCCCTCGAGAACCTTTCTTTCCTATCGGTTGTCGCTTCTACGAGCTATATGGCCGGCCCATTGCCACTTCAACTTACTAATCCGTTGGGCAATGTCCGTTACTCTAGTTCTACCGTAGACATCCTCATTTTTAAGTCGATCACCATCTGCTTAGGATCCTAAAATTAATTAAAATAAATTCAAACAAGACTTTCAAGATATTGTAACATCGTTCTCCGTAAATCGGACCAAAATTAATGTTCAAAAGCTTATGTAACTCGGGTTAACTGTGATATTAGGAGATCAATCACCTCAGTCCCTCCCGTGATCGTCATTAAACACTCTAAACAACCGGAATTAAAATAAGTAAAATGAGTCACATTTAACACGATAAAATTCGTAAAATTAGTTTTACCCAATTTGAAGGATATTTGTAGACTGCCCACCACATATTAGGGCAGCGCGGTAGGTTCTTGCTTCAGATACACACTCTGATATTATAGAAGGCATGTGTCCAGCTGTGGGACATATTTATACTGTTACTTTTTTTTTAGAAAGAACGTTAACAAATACTGTTACTTAAATTTTTAATATTTTGTCTGCATATCGCTATCATATAAATTTTTTTAAATGTAAATTGATAACTTCAAATCTTATTTTTACGTAAGCGTTACTAAAAATGCCAAAGTATTTAAAATGTACTTGAGATTCAATATGATAAATTGCTAAAAATGAAAAACAGAAGAGGAGAGATAATACCGCCTTGAGGGACGCCAATTGATACATCACACCAGTGAGATAGTACGAGTACCTATATGTCCAGTACACACGGCTTGTTTGCGCCCTCGAAAATATGATGAGAAGAATTCCTGGGCTGAAGACGAGATATTCGAATGAGAAAGAAGAACTAACAAGACATCATGATCAACACAATTAAATGCGCTAGAAAAATCAATTAAGAAGAGAAGTTAGGTTTGCTTTTTCCATTCCCTTACGGATATCTTGGGCCAGCTTCAGAAGAGCAGTAGTTTTAGAATGACCTATTTGTGAAAAAGACGTATGATGCTAAACTTTATGATGAAGTAAAAAATTTTTTTTTTTTTTTTTGTATTTTTATTAATTTTCTTTTTTCGGTTTTTTTTATATTAATTTTATACCCGACGTTTCGGGTGCTTTCCAGCACCCATGGTCACGGGGGACTGTCTAGACTAGTCCCCCCGTGACCATGGGTGCTGGAAAGCACCCGAAACGTCGGGTATTAAAATTAATATAAATAAAACGCGATAAAATCCGTAAAAGTAGTTTTAATCAATGTATAGTGTTTCGCGTAAATATAAGAAATCATTATGTAGACGTTAATTAATCAATTGAGTCTCTACTATTGATAGGACTCTAATAAATGACTTTGCTTCCCTGATATTGCGGTAATTGCGAGATAACAAGGGACCCTTATCCATCTACGAACTTGTAATCTGTGCCGATGACACGGCACCTACGATAATTTAATTTAGGGCGAATGAGGGGGACCGCGTGGGCTTGAACCAACAAGGTGTAATTGGATTGTTAAGGTATTAGGGATCTTTGCTATATTGAAGTGCTTCTGTACGACCAGACGGTTTAGAATTTTTGTACATGAGGAAACTCTCATTATTATAATTAGTAAAATGGATATACAATATTTTTATTGCTTTATTGCAATAAAAGATAAATATCTTGTAATTTTTTGAATTACAAAATTAATTTCACTAAGGAGAAATTGTTCAAGAAATTCTTTGTTCAGGATATTATGTTCCATTGAACAAGTTCTTTTTTTTAATGAAAAATTTTCTATTTTCAAATTGCCACATATGTATGTGAAATATTTGAAGATGTGATGATGATATAATGTGTCTGGAATAAAGCACATAGAATATTTATTATATGTAGTGGTAGTGATAAAAATTCTCACATTGGCATCTTGAACAATGTTTTATATGCAATGTCGAAGGAAGCCATATTGCTAGTTAAGTTAGTAAACTTGGTTCTTATGTAAGGATTATGTGTGATTGATTATTTATAACGTTGATTTGTAATTAGATTGCAGTGTAAAGCCTCAACGGGATGGTGTCGTATGATTAAAAACAAAACTTAAAACGTTATTAAACTTTTGCATAATTTAATTAGATCAATGACATAAAAAACGAGAGACGATGGTCATGGCAGTTATTCTGACGTGAGAAATGTACAAGGATAACAAAAACTCATGGAGACAAAAAACAAGAAAGCTACGACTCGCATAGAATAAGATGTTTTATAAAAGAAAAACGACAAGAACTGGCACTTTTGTTTTTTGTTTGAAAACAGACATTTCACGCATTAAGTATTCAGAAAGATGCTAATTCTTTTCAGTATTTAATGGATATGGAATAAAAAGTTTGTTATTTTAAGGCGCTGGTAAAAAATATTTACATGACGTTAATACTATTGAATATTTCATTGATTGTTACAGTATTTAGTAAGAGTATTAATAGAGAGAGATTCCTATCTAGAAAAAGTGTGCTCTCTCTCTCTTACCTTAAAAGAAATATAATTGCTTTTAAAAAAAGGGGACAGTGCGCACACTATATTGATAAAATAGAAATTAAAATTTAATAAAAGGACAGGTTGGAGAACAATATCGTATTTTAAACAGAATTTTGACGCTCGAGAATTGATATTTCTTGAAATAGTATAATACTCGGAAAAGCGCGTATATGAAATACTCAATAAAATTCTTTACTGAATAGAATTTTAAGATACTTTATATTAACCGAGGTAAAAAATTATATTTTATATATACATTGGAGTTTAGATATTTTTCGATAATATCATAGGAACGTTATTAAATTAGATTCTTAATCAGCTATATTTATTTTTATTTGGATGATTTTTTTCCTGATAATAAGCTAAAATGTTTCAAAAGTAACTTTTCGCCCAACGAATGTCGCCTGCTTGCTTCGTGCTGGACAAATATGCATGCAACGGACACGGGAGCTCTAAAGCTTTTAACGTCGAAAATCCTCGCTATAATTGGTTTTATGTGTATGTTACCAGACAATGTCGTTAAAATTAACCTTTTAATTTTTTTTCTTTATGGGCCAGCATGACAACAAAGGCGATATTGGTAAATAGTGAAAATATGAGTATCAATTTCATCATGGCTATGTAGTCGCTGCAGAAATTATCGGTGAAAACAGTGTGCGCGAATTTTCGAACGGTTTTTTTTTAAATATACGCACTGTTTGTCGTCGTTGGTGACGAGATAGGTGGGATTTTTCTCGCCAGAAAAAGATAAATACAGCCCTTCTGCGAGAAAACGTAGCCAGCTTTCTTGAGACTACCACAGAAAGATTGTTTAAATAATAATTTTAGTATATTTATTTACTGTTCTGAATATTATATGTCTTTTTGTGAGCTTGCTATTGCTATTGAAAAAAAAAATCTTTCTTTGTTGAAATGTGGCTACAGGTGTTCATGGGATGCGGTAGTTACTTAACCTTTAGGTGATTTGAGTTCGTTTGTCACTTCAGCTTTAATATAATCGTAAAAAGTAATAGTACCAGGGTATGAGAGACACTACAGAAGTGTTTTGATGGATTTTTGGAAACACTCAATCCGATTTTAGTATTCTTTAATTGAAATCACGAAGGGCAAATATTAAATTTAAATGAAAACACTCATGAATTGATAAAATAATTTAGAGCCATTTCTTTCCCCCAATTAGCGCTAGGCACAGATCAATGGAGGCAAATTTCCAAATGCCTTTTATAGCTTTAAGAGCCCCTCTGGTTAATAATCACGTTTATGAAATTTGGAAAG